GACAAACCACCTTCCTCCTGGAGTCCACATGGCGAACGCCCAAAATTCAGGTCCTCCTTCACTTCCACCAATCATTTGTCCATGATTTTGGCTGTGTTATTTAGTTTGCTACAAAACTTGTCAACCTCTTACATTTGCTTGCCAAAGCTATTGTAATTTTTTTTTGTCTAACTTTTGCTTGTCAAATCTTTGGCATGGTAAATTTTAGTTGCAAACCAAGTAGATACTCACTATTCTACCTCCGCTGTAGAAGAATAATGTAATTATAGTCCTACTCGGTATTAATCATCTCATCTATTGTTTGATCAAGATGTCAATATTTATGTATAAAAATATACTTTATGATGAATATAATAATAGCTATTTAGTATTATAAATATTGATATTTTTTTTTATAAATTGGTTTGATTTAAGATGATTTGACTTGATAACATGCTAGAATTGCATTCTTTTTTTTATGGAGGAAGTACTACACAGGATTGGAACTGTGTTGCATTTCATGGCACAGACATGCGATTAAGTAGATAGTATAATGCCCGTGCTAACGCCACAGCTTTATCTTGGGGATGCATATGAAACAACCTAACAATGAACTTTTTTCATAGTTCAACTTTTCCACAATAGTATATTGCCCTTGCTAACGCTATGGTGGCGTTTACAAAAAATAAATCATAAAACTAAAAATAAAAGTTCACAAGAATGAAATCACATTGATTTTTTTTTCTTCAAATAATAATAATAATAATGAAAATAATAGTTCTATGGGTATACGACAAATATTTGGTTACAAAATTATGCCAAAAGTCAATTGAAACAAGCTCCAATCATGGAGACATGCAGGTGCCCAGGCACATGTTGTAAAAAATCCTAGTATAAACAACAAAAAACTATTGAATGGGACATTATAAAATCGCCAGTGTCTACAACTTGGATAAAACTGAGATTAGAAACTATTTAATGAGACATTATGCTATACATTTTCTTGCTAGGAGGCCTGTAATATAAGGACCACTGAGCCACTGAGCCATCAAGTTGCGATACAATCTATACCAACACCAATAGTGACATGCCTTGTAATAATCCCTATCCTATCCCTCAACAATTAACACTGGAGACGTGTTGGTGAGGTTAGCCATCAGCAAGATCAGGGCAACGTTATGAAGGTGCAAGGGAGATCTCTCACGCGATTTCAGTCACAACCCCAGAACTCCAATGACCTGCTGCTCAACCTCTAGTAGCTGAATTTGTCGAGCAAGAAGAAGAAATAATGTCAGCACTTTCTTGCCTTGTTCTGAGTTATAGGGGAAGAGGCACAAGCATACCGGTGCATGTTAAGAACTGCAAGGATGTATAGAACAAGCAGGAAACTAACACTTCCATACCTCAATCGATAATTCAAAAAAAATCATGCAAGATATAACAACAAACAATTGAACCTTTTACCCTAGTACTGTAAGGATGATAGTCCACAGGCACTTTCATCCAAAATCTCCTTTCATCCTCATTTACTGATATGAAGCATCGGTGCCAAATGAAATTGTCATCTTTACTATTAGACACTTAGAAGTATTATTTGCTAAAGATGAGCCTGTGGGAAGAGCTCAAGAGCATTAGACTGAACTCAGCCTCAGATTCATCTTCATCCCACTGCTACATCCACCGAATTTTGTTAACCGGTATATTTCAGAATATATTAATTGGCATCATGTTAGTAAGACTTTCAAAGCCATGAAGAATTCAAGCAAATACTATACCCACCGAAGCTTAGCAAACAAATTGTTAGCCCTCATTCCAAACAGTTAGGATATTCAGAGAAAGCTGCAAAATATACCTGCACAACCTATGAGCTTCTAACCACTTCATGTTAATGCAGGATCCTTTTGATCTATTTCTGTTGCTATCACCTGATCATGAATTCGTGATTCACGCATAGTGAGAATGAAAAGCTCCTGCATATCTGCTCTTCAAACACAGCAAACAAGAATTCATATTTTTTTAATTCATAGTGAAACTCTTTGCACAAGAGAAAAAATATAAGAAAATAAATTATTCAACAATGGTTAAACAAATCGAGAAGAGGATCATACCCTACGTTTTCTACCAAATGGGCGAGCGTAGGGTGTTCAGTCTGCCTCGAGAAGGATTAAATCAGACTCAAATCATCTTGAACGAATCTGCTCAACACAGGGAAACTTCCGTCTCGAAAGTCAATAAATCAATAAGCCACTCAAAAGAGTAAACAAATAGGATGGGGATTCTAAATATCATACCTGAACTTGAACGCTGATATTGAAGGAGAAGATTCGTTCATTGGTATACAAAAGGCTAATGATCAGATATTTTGCAAGGGAAAAAAATTGCCAGTACATAGCATTTGGGATGGGAAGTGGGAACACGCAGATGGAACTCACCTGGATTGGGAAGGGCAGCCAAACCGTTCCCCCGCCCCCATCCCGTAACCGCGCGATCCCCGCGCGCACGCACCACGCCGAACCGCTCCCCCTCAACGCCTCCCCTCCACGACTGGACGCCGCCGGTGCAGCCCTCCGCCGCTCCTACGATCGAGATTTTGGTGCGCTCCTATTGGCTATATGCCTCTTTCCTTGCATGCGTTGCCCTTGCCCCTTCCGATCCTGCTCCCCTCTAACTCTTTCTCTTCTCCCCATCTGCATCTCGCACAACCCCTGGTAGTGGCACGGCCCTGCCAGCAGGAACGGTGGCCGCGGTGGTGGCGGCGGCGGCCCATGGCGGTATCGTAGCCAGGCCTTGAATCGGGGAGGAACGGAGGAAGGACGGGGTGATGACGGAGCAGCGTAGGCATGGGAGTCTCGTGTTTGGTTTCTGAGTTGTTTCGGAGATTTGGTTCTGGAAATAGGAGGTACCGTGCTTCGAAACGGGGATCGTTAGCCTCCGTGGTGCGGCCGTGCGGGCGGGGAGAGGCAGGCTGATAGGGTGCGTTGAAGCCTCTGGATGATCCAAACAATCCTGACCAATAGATCGTGTTGAAGCCTAATAAGAAGATACGTGAGCCATTGATTTTAATGCTGTTGTATTTCTGGGAACATATTTTGGAGTGTACGAAGGGAAAGTCATAACTGTGGGGGATTGAAATTGTGGGTGGACCTAGTATAATTTTAATTGGTCCTTATAGTATAGATTTGAGTAGAAGCAACAATCGAGCATATGACTATACGACGTTTAACAACCCTCGCTGCCTCACGTCGTCGTCTCCTCGCCGCATAAAATCTGCTATGACTTGTTATAGCCACATCAAATGGAACACAGGGAGCAGATCAACCACAAGCAGTCACATAGCACAGAGTGCTATGGCACCGGAAGCAACGAATCAAGATTCCATTGGAAGCAAGGGAGGCTGTCAGGCGGAGGCACGGAACAAGAAGATAATGAAGGTGCGCTCACTCACCCGTGTTCCATCTTACCGACATCGCGGCAGTCCACCTCGGCGTCGCAGTCCGCGTGGACTTCTGCGATGTCGTTGTCGCCGAGGAAGTGCGCTCCTCCATCCCCTTCACGTCACGCATCGAGTTTGCTTGCTAGGGGATTCTATCGAGGAAAAGGGGAGGAAATCAGATCGAACCGGGAAGGAAATCCGATGCAGGGTCGAAGCCTTACGTAGGTCCACGGCGCCGCCGATCCGGGGGCCACCCATGCAGGTGGACGCGCTGGGGCTCGTCGGTGCTGCCGCGGCCCGCGTACGGCGGCTGCGCCGGCCGGCGTACCGCTTCCGGCGCAAAGCCGCTCTGCGGCAGCCTGGCCAAGGACGCGGTAAGCCCGAAGAGGCGCCTCTGCGGCTGCCGCCCGAGGACGCCACGGGAGCGAAGGCAGCGCACCGGCCAAGGCCGTGGTGGGTGCGCCGGCCGCGGTGCTGACCCGGCTCCCTCCGGGCACTAGCGGCGCACCGATGCTTCAGGGCCGGTGGCTGCGGGACTGACTCCACGGCAGGCCAGGCGATGGATCTCTGCTCGCACGCTGCCGCCGTCCTCACGCCGGAAGCCCCGCGCGTGCAGGCACAAGTGGAACTGCAAGGTGAGCAGTGGACGCTAGCGGAGCGAGGAGACGGGGACGACGAGGCCGGAGCGGTCTGGGCAACTTTTGCGTAGGCGGAAGGGAGGCGGCGGTTTTGCATCCGGAAGAGGAGGGGGAGTGGACGACGTTTTTTTTTCTTTGATTTGAGGCGACGGGGACGTCAACGCCGAGAAAGGAAGGGAGGGTGGGTGGCGGGCGGGTATGCGTGGGTACGCAAGCGGGTAGGCGTGGAGCACGGTGAGAAAAAAATCCAACGCAAGACGTCGGCCACAGAGTTGTCGGGGAAGTTCCGTGATTTTTTTTGCGGCGCGGCGTTTGTAATACTCGGTGGGGCTGTATGATGTGGGTGTGGGGGAGAATGAGGAGATTTGATACACTCAATTCAGGTCCTCGATTGTGTAATGAGTAAGGAGAGAGAAGGCTTAGAGTGCATCTGGACGGTTCGTTTGAAATGTGTTGTTTTCCCAGGTACACTTTTTGGGGTGGACTTAGAGGGGACATCTCAGCGGGGGGTCGTTTTCTTGTGTAGACGTAGGAAAGAAAAGATGGTGTATTAGTAAGGTAGATTGTATTGTATGGTTCAGTTTGACAACGTGTCAACGTAGACCCACAGATCGAGTTTATGTTATTTCTTTCATGCATAGAGACTGAAATTATGAACAGCACACGTACAGACACAAGCACAATGGACTGTCCGCCGGCCGGCTGGGCCGGCAGCAGAGATGAGACCAACGAGAACTCAAAACGAGAACTCACACACAATTTAATGAAGGAATGAAAAAAAAATAACGGATGTCCAAATTATTAACACAATCATCAGTTTGGGTACGGATTGAGTTGAGCCAAATTTTGTCGATCGTGACCGGAGTCGAATTGAAGCTGCTGGTTTGCATTCGTGCATGCTTGGTGAGCTGGCTCGCTCGGTGCATGCCTCCGTAGCTAGCCGCAGCAGCCTAGCACGAGCTGGGCGCGCCCCGGATGTTGCACCTGGAAGGGATGGCCATGGCGCAGCCGGCGTAGGGCGTGCTCCTGAGCGTGCCCCAGTAGCTGCGGCAGACGCAACCGAAGTCGGCGTATCTCAGGGCGTTGCAGCAGCCGTGGCTCGGCGTTGCCCCGCCGCCCCACCACCAGCTCGAGCAGGCGGACTTGCAATGGTGCATCACCGCGCCAGCGTCGACGTTGCACGTCCCGGCCTCGGCCGCCGCGGCCAGCAGCGCGACCGCCATTATGGCCACGGCCACGGCGGCGCTGCTCAGCTTCTCCTTCCTCATGGCCATCGTCGGAACGTGGGTAGTATTGGCAGGCCGCACTCTCAGTACTCAGTAGTGTGTGTTTACTACGTACGTAGCCTGCAGTTTGTGATGATCTGTGTTGTGTGTCACGACTCACGATCGACGAAGCAGGGCGTATATATAGCGCGGGGAAACGAGATGACAGCGTGGCCAGCGCCGTGCATGCATGTGCAAATGTGCTCGCGCGCGCGCGAGCAAATCGCCAACTCGCCAACTCGCCGTCGGGGGCTCATCGGTTCGAGGTCAACGGCCAGACCGCCGCAGCAAGTAGCCGCCGCTGCTCGTCCGCGTGCTGGCACTCGGCAGGCGGCAGCCGGCATGCGCGCGCGCATATATGTACCTGTGGGCTGTGGAGACGATACTACGCTACACGGCGAAGAATGTGCGCAGTACGTGTACGTGGACGTGGTCAGCAGCGGCAAGCGCGCGCGGTGCGTTCGTACACGGGCTGACGAGCTGGCGGGCGCCGTTGTAGCAGCCTTAAATTTATACGTATCTGTACTTTGTAGGCGTACATAGAACGAGTTTAATACGGTTGACTAAGGACGTGATCGGTTGGGAATTGGGAATATTGGATGCTTCCCCTCTAGGCTCTACTCTCCTAATAAGTTTTTGGTTGACTATGATGAGCTGCAGCCTCCGGCAGAGCAAGACTCCGTGACTTTGCTCTGCGAAGTCCTTTGCCCCCTATATCTCCCGCACGATCCAACAAATCCAACCATACTGAGTGATTGTAGCCCAAAAAACACAGCCAAGACCTAGCAATTTTCACCCCATACGTGACTATCTCCTGTTTTTACACTACATTCTTATTATTCCACATCTTACACGATCATTGCATTAGATTGTCCCACTCTCTTTTTTTTTTTGAGGGAAAATTCAAACTTTCATTAACTCTCTACTCCATCTGTCCACAAACATAAGTATTTCTAAGATTTTTAGGATAAATTAACCGAGATGACCAATGCCAGTAATCCCGTTCAGAAAAAATGGCAATAATGATATAATCAATGATTAATTATGGGGGAGGTGTGGATTATTAGGCTACAAATGCTTACGTTCGTGAGGTGAACGTGGGAGTAGCTTCCAGCAATCCGGCCACGGGCCACCCATAGTTTTTTTTTTCAAACTTGGAAAGCAACAAACCAAGCATTGGATGTCTGCAGAATTACAGAGACAATGCATGCAGAGCCGACTGAACCGTGGTCTCAAATGTCCGCTCGTACGTTCTGCCCGGCTGCCGCCCCCTTCGGCGGTTTTGGGCCCTTCCCCTTGCAGCTTGCACCAGCACTGCTCCGGAGTTTCACGCAAAACCACCTCCCTGCGCTGCACTTCTCTGTAGTCCGTATGACACCCAAGATTTTGTACAGCACCGTCCGTAAATACTACTACTAGTTGTTGTTGTTTCCGACCAGATTTTGTACTGCGCGCAGGGCAAAAGTCAAAGAAACCGGCGTACATTTCCGACCAGAGAGTACAGAGTTTATACAGTAAGTAAAATCTACAAGAACTGGAAGAGCGAGAGAGGATGTAAGAGTAATACACTGCCACAACATGAAAAAGGTTTCAGAATCAACTGAATTCCCTTCAGATTCTCTTCTAGCTCCATGGTTGGCGGGCGTGAACTTGTGCTGCGTTCCATGACCCAGACGACTTGCCATTAGTTACAGCGTCGACTTCAATTGTCCCGTCTGATGAGCAGAGGAAGAAGCTGGGAACGCCAGAAGGATGAAGCTTTGCCGCACGCAGGCATGGATAAAAAGCAGATCTTGACGCGTCAATTCAGCTGGGACGGCGGACATCTGCACTGTCCCTAAGCTAGCTTACATCAAAAGCCTAACTTAACCCAAAGGAGAGGCTGCAGCGAGCAAACACGCTTTTAATCAAAAGGAGCAGAGGGCCTGGTAAAAACCTGGAAAAAGATAAAGGGGCAGAAAGAGAAGAGGAGGAGGAGAAGCTCGCTATGCGGGCCGGGATTCAGAAAATTCGCCAGCTTCCTGGTGCTCCCGTCTTTTGTTTGTTTTTTTCCCTTCGTCGTCGTCAATCAAAGCAGTAGATTCCGAAAGGTTCTTAGCTGGCCCAACAAAAAGGCCCATCCGCATATGCGTGGATATACGCTTGTACCAGAAGGCCTGGTCCATCCTGTTTTTTTCTCTTCTTTCTTCGGCTGCACTCAACATAGCTTTAGCACACTGTCAGCCTGTTCGTCTGGGGCTGAAATAATCGTATCACCGTCGCTGGAATAGCCTGGTACCTGTAATAATTTCACAGCAACTACTGGCCAGTCATCAGTGCGAAGAAAATTGTACTAGAGCAAAGTAATCCGTTCCAGTAAGCATGTGTGTTCTTGCAAAAGATTTGAATAGCTCGTGCATAGTGGGTCTGTTCGGCAGAACTGAAAAATATTGTTCAGACTGATTGTTGCGAGAGAAAAATACAGTTCTGACAGGACGTGAACAGTGATTTCGTGAGTGGGCTGGCCAGCCAGCCAGCCGAACGAGCTCAGTGTTGCTATACTACATGTATGTATAGTGTCTCACCATCAATTCATGTAAGTTGAAACTTGAAAATCATGTTTACATCCACCTGAAAGTATAATTCAAGTAGGGTCTTTTAGAGGGCAAACCTCCACTTTTCTGGCAGAGCCGGTTCGGACATAACAAAGGAGATGTTACCTTGTTTATGAGATTGAATATGAACCTATTAGATCAGAGAATACAAAATGTTGGGGAACTCAGCAACAAGTAAAAAAAATGTGTACACTTAAATAGAAGTGGTTAGCTACCTAAATTTGTTGGTGACTTTGTCAGTAGTTCAATATCGAGATTTTTTTTGCTCGGTCTTTTGGAGGTGTTCATTAGAAGTAGAGTGTGTGTGAACATATTTATAGAGGTGAGCATGTGTGGAATGTACGAATGTCAGTACCATGGAGGGTGTCTAAATCACACACCAGCAAGGCTAGCACGTCCAAGGGGGTTGCAAAACAATCTGCACGCACCAAGAACGTGAGCGTGATCGACGAAACCGATCGAGAGACCGGTTAGGCCGATGTTGAACCCGTTCTCCTGTTCTTGGCTGAAAAGATTCTCGAACTTCTCCCGGGAAGACTCATCGGGGAGGAGCACGTGGAGGATGCCCTAAGGACCAGCAAGGTCGCCTAGGAGGAGCATGTAACACCCTCGGTGTTACACTGAAAATCTTTTGCTAAAACATATCATGTCATGTGCATCATGGCTATGTGATAATGCATATGATATAGTGTGTAGATCGATTTTCGTAACTTGAAACGATCGACTGAAACGCGAAACGAAAGTTACATTTCATAGTCAAGTTATATCACTTAGGGTTTTAAATCATTTTTTATTAAGCGAAAATGCTATAGAACGCATATACGGAACTTTAATAAAGTTTGTAGTCATGTGCCATCGTCAGCGCGCCGGCCGTGCGAGCGAGCGCGCGTGCTTGGCCAAGCTCGGCTGGCTACGGTGGCCGGCAGCCCTGGCTGGCAGCGGGCCCTCCTCTCCGCCACGATGCACGCTGCCGCTGGCGCCGCTGTTGGTGCCCTGGGGCCGCCCGTGTCACGCTGTGCTCGGCTCTGCTTCGCCAGACGCCATCGTCGTTCCGCTCGGGTGCAGTGGCATCACATGGCTGCAGCTGTCGTCGCCAGCACGCGCCTGTTTCCTCTGCGTCGCATCGTCACATCGCGTACGCCCACGCCGCTTGCGTCGCATCGCCTCTGCCGTTGCTGCACGCGCCTGCTGCACCGGCACATGGCTGTGTCGCCGTCGGTTTGCCAATTAAGGTGTTGCGGCCGCACGAGCTGTGTAGCCTCGTACACGCACGTGTAGCCTCCTATGTGTGCCCTTGTCCACTTCTATTGAGTGGCATGCGCCACTCTGCGCTCCCCAACCACCTCCGCCTTAAATGGCGTCGCGCCGGCGTCACTGAGCCGCGCCAAGGCCAGCTCGCAGCGCCGGTCCAATCCAAGTAATTGCGCACGCCAAAAGCGCAATTGGGAACCTAGCTACGCGCCAAGCTCGCCCACTGCTGCAACCGTACCGTGTCGAGCTTCAATTTGAAAATTCCCCGCCATTGGCCACCTTAAGACCGAACGGAGACGCGCATCCAATTCGCCTCGCACCGTCCACCTCCGTCCAATTTCGTGGCACCGTATCTTCGCCTTGATCCCCTCCGCCCCGTGCGCACCCCACTTGCACTGCTACTGCCTTCCCGGCGCCGCTGACACGGTCGTGCCACCGCAGTCCATCGCGGCGATTCCGTGTGCGTGTGGCCGGTCTCACCCAGTCCATCCCCGGTAAAGCCATCACCACAGGTAGCTTTGGGGTGAGTTGCTTGTGCCCATCCTATGGTTCTTTCACCTCGGTTGTACTTTGGCTCACAGGAACAGGGTTGCCACAGTCGTAGGGTGTCTGCCGCCGTGGAGGGAGCTCCTGGACGTGTCTCCGTTCATCTCTTCACCGCCCACCGTTTCGTGTTTGCATCTAGGTGAGCATCAACTCTTTAGGGAGGTGGAGAGGGGCTAGGTTGGCCGGCGTGACCACCCTGTGCCAGCGGCGCCGCGCCGGTGTGCACGTGGGTGCCCGAGGACCTGGCCATGGAAAAGATAGATTTTTCCAAGGGCTTATCTGTAAAACATTGGCTGTAGGAAGAGTTCTGCGAACCTCGGGGCAAATCACAGGTAGCTCAAAGTCATTTTCGCAAAAATATCGGCGTGCGTGGGCCGTTGCCACGCGGTTGGGCCACGCCAGTGGTGGCGCGTGCGCGTGCGTGGGCCGCGTGCGCGCTCGTGGGCCACGCGGATGGATTTCGGTTTTTCTTTTTCCAGGGAATTAGTAAATGTTTATTCAATTTAGTTTTGAGCTAATCTTTGGAAAATTATAGTAAATTCTGTAGGTATCCAAAAATAGTGAAACAAAATTTGTTAGATTCCCAAAAATGTTATCTATCTGTTGGTGTAGTTAGTT